CCACCTACAACGTATGTACATAGAATACTAGGTATGCAAGTGAGCTGCAATTACTTCTTTCTGTGGTGATACAGAAATCCAGGGTCTGGTAGTCTTAAAAGGATTAATCCATAGCTATGAATTGACTCCATTAACTGGTAAGATAGCTACCATGCATTGGGGTGAATTCATCTCTTGTGCAAATCATCAGGAGGGTCTATGGAGATTGTTCTGCAGGAAGGTCTGGGTGCCTCTACATCTGAGGGGAAGGAAATGGCCCATGGCTTAGTGCTAGCATTTAAAGTTAAGGTCTTGTGTGTGAAAGGTCCAGCTGTGCAAAAACACTGCTGAACTCAGTTTAGGGTAAAACAAAGAAAATTTTTCATCTCTGCTGCTGAGTTCAGGCTTCACACTGCAGTCATGGGAGTATAATTAAAAAAAGAGAAACCTGATTTTTCCCTGCCTTGGACCTTCTGTTATCATTCCCATTTGCCAAGCAAGCGCACGCTCTAGCTGCAGCAGACAATGAAGTCAGCCTGGCAGCGTGCTGTGCTCACACAATGGGAGCCTAAATGCCAGCACAAAAGGCACAACAAAACAAAATCCAGTTTGAACCATGAGGGGAAAAGTGCTGAATCAATGGTTTAGATCTGGCCGAGATAACTGTGAGTCCTAAAAGAAGCTTTGGCTTTGGTCCTGAGAGCACCTGGCCCTTCTCTGCATTATTGTGCAAACTGCTACTCAACACAAAGCTAGATCCTGCAGCAACAGGGCTACAGGTTTTTATCAATGTTCCCTACGAGTACTCATTTCTTCCGAGAACAGAGAAAAGAAGTCAGCCACAGCTTGTGCATGAAACTACACTGTTTCCAGCAAAATGGGAATTGAACACAAATGCTACATTTTGACACTCAGTTGTGAAGAAAGCAGAGAATAATTATGTCTCAGATACCTCATCATCCTGCAAGTCCTCCTCCAGCTGGAGAATGTCCTTCAGAGCAGCTGCAACCACCTTCTTCCTCTTGCAAATGAAATCCCGTTCCTGGGCACACAGGTCAAACCCCAGGCGTACGTCTAGGTCTTCCTGGCTGGAACAGAGGATCAGGTATCTCACATCATGTTTATAGTCTAATTCAGCATTTTAATTGCTTCTACTTCATAAATAGACATGCCTTCACCATCAGGTCTGTATAAAGCAAAGCAGGAAGAGATGAAATGTTTTAGTTTGTTCCTGGAGAACAACAGTACGTCTTCCTTTGGACTGAGGGAGGTTCTTTTTTTTTTTTTTCTCCTTGCCGAAGATGCCTGAAATGAACTACAGCTACAAGTAACGGAACTGATCCCTTTCAGACATACAGCCAAAAGCCTGCAGAGGGCAGTGCTTTAAAGGTGGCTTTTAAATGCACCTTCCAAAGTTGCGCAGACTTCCGCTGACACCTGCGAATCGCGGACTGAAGTTGTGGACTTTCGCGTTTGGATGGTTTTTTGTGTGTGGGTGTATACAGTCATTTATAGATATTTATAAGCACTACAGTTGCTGTTTGGAAGCTGCAAAGTATTTCTTAGGTGTGGTAAGAAAGAAGTTTTTAAATGACGGTTGTAAACTGTATGCCTATCTCATAGCATATTTACTGAAAATAAAGAGCACGATAGACGATGCACCTGCTTTTGTAAGGGAAAAGAACTTCCTGCATAATGTAACATATTCATCTTATGAATTTCACTAAGGTCTTAACCATATCTCAAAATACACAATGTGTTTCCTTGGTTTAGAAATGAGCAATCACTTGGTTGAGTTAATTTGCATTTACCTCTTTGAGTAGACATTACAAAATAAATGCAGGTACATTTATTGTTTAAATATTTTCATATCCTAGAGTGACCAGGCACTCTGGTCTTTTAGGTTTTTTCTCTGACCTCAGGAAACAGAAAGTTTTCTTTCAATTAGTTTTGAAGTACTGCTTTTATTGAACATCTGCATTTGGCAATTTGTAGAGGTATCAAAGAGTGTCTACTGTGGCCCATAGCACACAATTTTGATTGCAGCAAAATATCAATAGAAAATTGGCATGTTCTTTATAAAATCTTTTCTTAACTCACTGTAACAGTCCCGTTACATAAATTCACGGCCACTGAAAATCTCTTTACTGTGTACTGAATGCATTTTATTTTATAGTCTGAAATGAGGCTGAGCCAGCGTTCAGGATGCAGGCAGTAACAAAAGGATTGGAACTTGACTGACAACTATCCAAATTCAAAGAACTGAGGGGAAAAACACAGAAGGAAGATAGATAAGATATCTTACCATTTTTTCACCTTAATGTGCAAATCAAATTTTCTGTGCTGAAAATTAAAAAGGTAAAATTATGAATATTGCTATTTTGTTTAGAACAGTCCTTTTCCCCCACTAAGAATGAGTTGGGGTCATCATCACATCTACAAAGCTCTGAACCTCAATAAACTGAGATTGGGAGATAGACTATCCTCTCAGTGTTTCATTAGTACCCAGAGATGTGCACCGATTTAATAAATTAAGACTTTGGTATTGTCATCTATGGTCTGCGTCTTCTCTCTGTTGTGGAACTCAGGTGTAGCTTGCGCTGGTACAACTTAGCTCCACAAATAAATAGCAGAAGAGCTGCAGTGCTACGCCTTACCTCCCTGGAAGGGTCCACCATTAAACATGGGTCTTGAAACTGAAGTCTCTCACACAACAAGGTGAGATACAAGGGGAAGCCAGAGAGGCTGAGCACCCCAGAAGTGTGGCACAGCTTTGCCTCCCGTGGCGGCGTGCCAGGCTGCAGACTCACCCCTCTGTCCCAGTGGCACCCAGTGACCTCCAGCCTGGCTAAGGACATGGACAATAGAAGGAACATGAGCAACAGTGTAGACATTTTTCTTCTTCTTCTTCCTTCTCCCCTGGATTCCCCATTTGATTTTGCTCTAAATATTTGACTTCATTATGCATCACTCTAGATTCGGGAGAGGTTAGAAAACAACTGGTTCTATATAAAGAGAAGTGGTCTTCGGTTTCTGCTTCTTGGGGACCAGCAACAATTTTTAAAAGCTTGCAAAGGATTCCCCATGGCCAGCGAACACTTACCTCACCGACTACTTCCAGCTCGGAGGGGAGTGACTTCAGAGGGAGAGTCAGGGGGATGCTTCTGTGCCTTCTTGCTCCGCATGACACGCAAGCACACTGAAAAGAAGCACAGAGTTCTTTTTGGTTAAGGGAGAAATGTTCTCATCCTGCTGGCCGCTCACACATAAAGGTCAGATCACAGGACTGTCTGTGATGTCTACCGTGTTCTGGGGGAACGTACAAAGGTGGGAAGCCTCCTCTTCTTTGTGAGTGCAACATCCAGGGACGGTTGCTTGTATTTGGCAAAGTGGAAGAAAGTGGGATCTGGGACAGGGGAGCAGGAGTCACAGCCCACTGAAACTCTCTGGGTTTCTTCAAAGGATCCTCTCACTGTAAATGTTAGCTCATTTTCTAAAACAATGAGATAAAATGCACGCAAAAAGTTACTTCTAATTGCAAAAAGAGAGAAATGGGGGAAAAAAAAAGAAGCTAAAGGTATCTTTGAACAAATCCCTTCTCCTCTTCCTTTGTATTTGGAAAGCTGTCTTCTGAAAGTGATCCAAGACCCAAACATTACAGGTGGTTGTATCTTTATAATGGGCTGAACAAGAAGCCGGATGGGAGTGTGATGTGAACGGCACTGAATTTTAGACTGCTGCATTTTTCTTGCAGTTGCATCATGACACAGTGAGTGCAACCAGGTACTTTGCGTTGTAAATCGTCCTCATCCCAGGCTAAATAATGAGCAACAGAAGTTCTCAGTCCCCTAAAACAAGATCTGACTCTGCAGCAGATGACTCTATTTATATGAAGAGACTAGCTAATCCTGCCAGTGTGTGTTATGCATGCTCTGAGATTGCCTACCAGATCCAGCCCCTCAGGGGATGTGGGCAGAGGAACTTCTAGATTCTGGATCTTGATCAGGGTCAGGCGGGAGCCAGCTGCTGAGTGGCTAACCCCTGCAAAAAATGAGGTGTTTCTGTGCGTATGCAGAAGCCAAACTGTCAGAGATCCTGAGGAAGGTTAGGTCCATGGACTACCAAGTCTAAGGAAGTAAGCTTCTTCAGGGTTTAGCAGTACTATAGCAGAGGTTTTCAGGATCTCAGCTTGGGGTTTAGATATCTTCTGTACAAACATCTGATGTTTTTTTCTAGTCTGGCACAAGGCTCCTCATGAAGTCAGAACCCTGAACCTACACCTGCTGCACAACAGGTGGCATTCCCTACTACATAGTTTTTACAAATCGCCTTAGGTATGGTCAATTAAAGCCTTAATATTTGGATGATGCAATTTGTAGGCATTGCTAGAGAGGATAAAATCACTAATATGCAGTTAAAAAAATTAAGTTTACCTGAAAAATGCTTCTTTTTCATCCTGCTGTCCAAATGAACTTCCAAGCAGGCTACTTCACGACACTAGAATAGACGTGATGGGGACAGAGAATTAGATTACTCGTCCAGCCATCTCACTGCCAGTGCTGGCAGATGTTGGAAGGGTCACTGCAGGAAGGGTAACTGCTTGAACGTGGGGGGCAATTCTGTTGGAGACTTCTGCCAGACCCGGTGAAAGTGAGAATTCATCGTCACGTGGGAAGATGGTGCTATGCTAAACACATTGTAATTTTTAATGGATGCAGACAAAACAAGGGAAAATTAGAGTAGTTTGAAGGCTCCTTTGAGATGATGCTGGCCTCCTCAAACATAAAGCTTGCAAAAGAAAAAGTATCAGTAAAGAATGAAGACTTGCAATGTTTCCCTCACTGCCATCATAGCCAGCTAAGGTAAGGAATGATGTGGGAAAGAACACAAGGGAACAAAACAAATAATAATTTACCACTATTGCTCCATTTGTGATGATGGTTTCAGGAGGACCGCACCTAGAAAACAAGAACAAATAATATGTATTTTATAAACAATGTAATCTGGATATTGTCCTTAACAAAACACATTTTCCTCTCTTAATTTATTTTTTATTTCCTCCTTCCTATTGTTTGTAGAGGTATGCTCCCTTTTCACTAGATACCACATAGCTACCTAGCAGAAATGTTTCAATTGGAATAAAGCACCTGGAAAGTGCTTTTAACAACCTTAATAGCACAGGTATGTTACAGATTGGGTAACAACATTGTCCTCAGCCCTGAGCTGCCCAGAGAATCCTCTCCAGAAAATCTATAGACTTACTGTAGTGGGATTTATCAGTCCCAGAAAATCAACTCTAAACTATGTCAGTAATATATAAATTTTAAGAGAAAGTCAGAGAATTAAAATTTGTGAACTCATTCCCCACATCATGGCATTTTCCTTTCTTACAATGATTTGCTGATGCACACATTAAGTTTGCTAAAAGGGTGAACCTGGCTATTAAGATGATACTGGATGTACAGAAGATTTCCCTGCACTGATACACCACTCCAAGCTGCTGCTTGCATAATAATGAGGTTTTACTCACATGCTCTCCAATGCAAACTCAACTTCCAGCTCCTCCTTCCTCTGAAAATTAAAGAAAAAAAGTCTCAGTTAACATGTGCAGAGGTTTGCAAAGTGACCTTCATTTTTTGCTAGCACAGTTTTCTTTATGTTTTAGTAAGTAACAATATTCTGTTTCATGCTTGCTATTGTCAGCATTAGAGGACAGAAACAGCTTTTTCTTCCCCAAGGAAAAGATGATCTCAATTCTACTAGCAGAACAAAGGGTGCTTCGTGCTCGTAAGTCTCCCTAGTAAACCTTTATTTTTCACACTTTCTTCCCTGCCAGGTTCCATGTGCTGAACATGATATGCTAAGACTTAGGGTTTAGTAAAATATTGTGGAAACAGGCCGTTTCCCTGTCCTTGTATTGTTTTTCTTTTTATAATCTTTGTGAGGATTAGATAAATGCTGTCATTTTCTGTCAAATTATTAAAGTGCAAAGCTTCTCTAAAATTGCATCTGCTCTGGGGCTTGGGAATTTGGCTGTAATCTGTGCCAGAGGAAACCCACAGGAATTTGAGAAGGCTGTCTATTTTGTCACTGATTTGCAATTTCCAAGATTTTAATAAAATTTTTTACATTTTTACAACCAAGCTGGTCCTGGTGGTAAAAGACAGAAGAGATAGCACACCTCTTTAATCAAAGGGCAAAAATGGACATCAAGATGTACTAAATGTCTAACCGAGCTCTTACCTGTGGATTTAGTGGGAATGTAGTAAACACTATTAGCTACATCAAAAAGCACAATTGCATGGTCATCATCATGAACGATGTCATCATCAGAAACAGTAATTTCCAGAATATTCTGGGAAAAGAAATGAAGAATGTCCAATTCGTTAACATGTACTTAAGATGTATGACACTCTGATGCTCTTCCAGGTACAGTGCCTGCTTTACAGAGAGGAAATGGAAAAGCATCAGTGACAAAGTGTCACAAGGAAGAGTAAGAAAATGAGTGTAATCTCTTTTATAAGAAACAGCTTCTAGTCTCGTTAATTAAGGCCGCACTGAGATTTCTCTTAGTTCACCTTTTATGCTTTTGAGTAGCTCTCTCCAAAAATGCAGTCTCTTAGGAAGGAATATGGATAGCTAGAAGTTCTATATTGGACCTTATCAACAGGGGCAACAGAGGTCACTTCATATCAAGAACCACTTTTCTATGTCCTTGGGCTTTGCACCTTCAGCCACCTGTTCATAAGTATTTGAGTGTAGTGCAATTATCAGCAGTAAACTGAGTAAAGATCCTAATCATACTACAATTTAGCAGCTTCCTGGCATTGATATGCCATTAGTTCATGTCCTCTCAGGGAAGGGTGTGTTTTTCTGTTATAGTGTTGCTGTATATTTTCATTCCATAGTTTCTCTGTGTTATCACTCTGTCATTGGTCCCGTTAGCCTTCTCCAAGGAGGTCAGGCTTATATTACTAATATATAAATAATAAATATCTGTTAGGAGAGAAGTGGATTCCAGCAAAAGCCAAAATAATTTTGCTCCAGCTTGCTAGGTGAACTTAAGTAAATTCAGAAAGGCATTAGAAGACATGATATCCCGTTTCGGGCTAAACCAAAGGAAGCTGCATAGAGATTTGATGAAGAAGAGAGTTTTTGATTTGTGTACCTTGACTTGTCCCTGTATCCGGAAGTAGAAAGTTTCATTCCATACCGGATTTCTGCAGTTTTTGATGGTTTTGGTGTGGAATTTTTCATCTGAAGCAGTTGGCAACCAGAGGCTCACGTAGCAATCAGATTGGCTTACTGTAGAAACATAGGCACAAATTATCTGGCAGTAGAAACACAAGAAGTGAGGCACTGAAACGCTCTGTAGCTTGAATGTGGATGAGAGATAGCCAGTTCTTTCTGATATGCATTGGCCAAACCAGGAAGGTAGAAATCACATAGCTGGATAAAAATAATTTGTTGTTCATTACAACACTATTTTTAGTAAACAGTGTACTCAAATAACTATGCACAATCATCTTACACATTTAAAAAAAAATGCAGTCCTAGCTAGTGGATAAAATAGTATGAATAGCCAGGAGTCTGACGTTGCCCCTTATCAATGTTGTTTCAGCTCTCTGCAAATTTGGCAGGAGGAGAAACTGGGACTGATGCAGCAAAGAGCGAGCCTCTGACCCTTAGAAAAGTTGGGCATAAATCGTCTCTGTGGCAATATATCCTCATGAGAAACCTTAAAAGAATCAGGTTTGAGTCTGATTCAGATAATAAATGTCTGGCATACCTGGTTATTAACCCTTCATGATGGAAAATTAATTATTCCAGCTACCTAGAGCATTGTCTCCTTAGGTGGGGTGGGAAGGGAGAGGCCTATCAGCAGGACAATTGCTTCTCCTGGAGGGCAACAGGCAGCAGGAGCCTTTTCCTCATGTTTGCTGGTGCCTGAAAGACTTGGAAGCTATTTCCTACTCCACATCTCTTCCCAGGAGAAATGAAGTGGCAGAAAGGATTTGGATCTTGTGGATGAAGGCAGTGAGCCTGCACTTACTGTAAGGGATCATCTCCCATAGATCATGAACCAAGCAAACACCAAAGAGATTCTCAGACCTTGGATGGGAACTTTTCCAGAGGCAACTGGAAGGGCTGATTCATCCTGTTGTGTAAACACAGGCTTTGGTGAGAAAAGAGGAGAAGGGGAGAAGTCTGGTCTCATGGCAGTCAGTAGAGATAGCTACCTCATGAGCAGAGAGATGAACACTTACTATCTGTAAGCATGGCACAGGTCTTAAGTCAGTTAGTTCCTCAAGGTTAAAAGAGTTTGTCCTGATGTCTTTGCTCAGGATATCAGATATATTGCTTTGGGATATTTTGCCTAAATATAAGGTGTTGCCTGAAATCCAGAGGGCCTGTGACTGGGACATCCCTGGGGGACGATGCCTGTCGGGCAGGGAGATTCCCGGGTAACTCTTCACGCTGAATCTGAAGGAATTTCTTGACAGTGCCGGCAGTTTTCCCTCGTGGAGGATGTAGGTCGCCTTTCTGTCTTTGAAATTACTTCCACAGGCAACATTTCAGCATCTCAGATTTTTACATAATTGAAGTGATAGGGTAATATATTGACTTTGGCAATTACTGCTGTAAGATTCAATTTACAATGTGCGGGAGGGCTGTAATTACTGATCTGTCTGATAATTGAAACATTTCCCCTTACCGTGCTGTCTGATGGCCTGTCGAGTTGTGATGTACTTGTCCTGATAAGACATATCACTGGCTCTGATCTACAGACGCTCTCAAGAGCACATAGGAAATTTGTAAAAAAGCCAAGAACTAAAAGTGGCTTTAGGCTGTCTAGACCATCCTTCCTCTCATTAACACACTTATCACTGCAAATCTCCAGTGTTCTGAAAACACGAGTCCAGCATCCCCAAAATTGCCAAAGTGGCTGAGATGAGATGTACTTGAGAAATGTTAAATTGATCTGAGACAGAATTTCTCTACGTTTTGGTTTCTGGCCATCATAGGGTGTAGGAAGGACACATTTCTATATTTTTGCTGCAGTTGCAAAGGCCGATTCTTTTCTTTTCCTTTCTTCTTAATGAAAATTGAGATACTCTATCCTTTTTTAAATTCCAGCTTTCAACCACACAGTGTACAAATCAAGACTCGTGATAGAACTGGCAGTGCTAAAATTCTGAGCCAAGCATGAATGAACAGCCGCAGCATTTATAAATGTCTTTTGTTACTGTTTTATCTGGAATTTACTGATTTGCTGGGGTGTTTTCCTTGACAAAACATTTTCATGAGGTTACTTTCTAAAGTTATTTTTCCATATGTGTGTTGCTTTCTCAAACATTTACTTAAAATAAGCTATTGACAATTCTTTGTCAAACTGATGAAGTACAGGCTAGATAACTGGACAGTGACATGGGCTAAAAGCTGGCTGAACTGCCAGGCTGAAAGGATTGTGATCAGCAGCACAAAGTCCAGCCAAGGCCAGTCACTAGTGGTGTACCCCAGGGGGTGATACGGGGGCCAGCGCTGTTTAACATCCTTATTAACCATGTGGGTGATGGGACAGAGTGCACCTTCAGCAAGTTTGCAGGTGGTACAAAACTGGGATGAGCAGTTGACACACCAGATGGCTGTGCTGTTGTTCAGAGGGACCTGGACAGGCTGAAGAACTGGGCCAACATTAGCTTCATCAAGTTCAGCAAGGGAAATGCAAAGTCCTGTACATGAGGAGGAATAACTCTACGCAGCAGGACAGGCTGGGGGCTGATCGGCTGGAGAGCAGCTCTGCAGAGGAGGACCTGTGCATTTTGGTGGACACAAGGTGGAACATGAGGCAGTAATGTGCCTTTGTGGCAAACAAGGCCAACAGCCTCCTGGGCTGCATCAGGAGGAGTGTTGCCAGCAGGTGGAAGGTGATCCTTCCTCTCTACTCAGCACTGGCAAGGCCACATTTCTGGATTCCCCAGTACAAGAGAGGTAAGGACGTACTGGAGTGAATCTAGCAAAAGTCCACAAAGAAAGTGGGGGTTTGGGGCATTTGCTATATGGGAAGAGGCTGAGAGAGCTGGGACTCTTCAGCCCAAGGTAGAGAATGCTCAGGAGGATCTTGTCAATGTATGTAAATGCCTGATTTGTGGGAGAGAGAGGGAAATAAAGAAATCAGAGTCAGACTCTTCTCAGTGGTGCCCAGCAAAAGGTAAGAGGCAATGGACACAAACCAAAATACAGGAAATCTCATTTAAACATAAGGACCCCCCCCCTTTTTTTTGTTTGGGGTTTTTTTTTTTTTTACAATAAGGGTGGTCAAACACTAGCACAGATTACCCAGGGAGGTTGTGGAGTCTCTGTCCTTGGAGATGTTCAAAACCCGACTGGACATGGCTCTGAGCAGCATGGCGTAGCTGACCCTGCTTTGAGCAAGGGGCTGGACTAAACGATCTCCAGCGGTGCCTTCACACCTCAGCCACTCTGTGTCATTCTGCAATATCAAGGCTAGTTGGTCACAGAGAAATTGCATATAATTGTTAGTAACTACTGAGTCCAAATTTGACCTTGAAGATGAAGTGAAACAACTAGGACAAAGCACATCCTCTTCCCACAGAGAAAGGGAACTATGCCATATATGGTTTTGACACAATTCATCTACAGTCCCTACTGATGGGACAAGGTTATTATTTCCCATAACATTCCTATGATTTTCTATATTTTCCTTGATTTGTACAGACAGTATCAGCTATTCCCCGTGCTCTGATTCTAACTGAGCTTATTAATTTCTGTAGAAGTGGCAGTTCACTTGAAGTCAGGCTCAGCTGTGAGTCAAACAGTGGGACAAATAAAAAATAACAGGATAGTTGGATGTGTGCTGAATACTATGAAGACTATGATACTCGCATTACATGGGAGCACTTGAAATGACAAACCAGCTTTATTTGCTCCCTCTTATCCCTGAAAAAAGAGCTACTGAAAATCTTCCCGTTTATTCACTGCTACCTGGGAGCTAATACAAAAAATTATATTTGCATTTTCTTCATGCTCTAATTTTAATGCAATTGCTGGGCATCATTAGCAATTTTATGCCATGCCAGGCCCTTTCTTCAGTGCATGTGTTGCAACTTCATTCCCTTATGACATAATGTCACCCCATGTGGATGCTGAGACATCTGAACTCACAGTCTCATTGGAAGTCAGCACTAAGTTACTCTGATATCGTTTCCCAATTTTTGGCTTCTTCTGATTCAATTGCATTTGTGTATTGGTGAGACTATTTCTGATCTCTGTCTTCAAGCTAAAGATGGACTAAAAATTCAGGGCTGAACTGAGAAATTCAGAACTGCAGCCAGCTGCTTGTAGTTCTGTGACAGTACAGTCCCGTGATGTTTCTGAAATGAGCCATCACGTGCTAAAATCATTTGTCTCCATCACAAGTAAGAAGAAAATCACAGCACAGAGTGATCACAAAGTGTGTAAGAAAAACTAATCTCAGAAGAACAATGAATGTAAACTATAAAATCCCATCTGTCCTGCTAACTGCATTTCGTAATGCCAAAAAAAGAAATAATTTTCTCCCAGTGAATTCCTCTCCACTTGCACAGACAGGTTCCCCTTGAATCCTAGTTTGCTACAGTTCACCTAAAAGGAGGAGGAGAGCCGCTCCCATTTCTCAATCATCAGACACGGTCTCCAGGGACATTTTCCCTCACCAGCGTAGTATGATGCAAACAATATTACGAAAATACCTCCAAATGCCATCTGTCTGAGAGCTGATTTGAACTGAACTCTGTCCTCTGAAGTATCCAGATGCAACACTCATCTCTAAGCGTAATATTACTCTCTGTAGCTTGCTTGTGGAAATAACAACTGCTCATAGATCTATCATGCTTAATCAGTGATGTCCTTTACCAGGAATGGAGGGAGTCCTGTGTGAATGAGCCCTTCACCATGTTCAGCCATTAAGTCGAGCAGCAAAGTAGGATTTGCTCCCTGGAGCACAGACTCAGTGGGTGCAGTACCTGCTGCAGCCACAGAGTCACACACTGGGTTGCCTCTACCTGCTGTGCCAACATCACCACTTGCATTCTTGGGGCAGAACCATGAATATCACCTGCACTAGGTGTATCGTCCATAATTTGCTTGCATTTATTTTCCATAGCAAAAATAACCCCTGATGTCTTTGGAGAACCACTCTGATTTGCAAAGACTCTAGGCATATCACCCCAGAACTGACTCATTTCTTCCAAACGGATAAAAGGAGAGCTTCCACAAAATAATTCCATAAGCTAGGAGAGGAG